TCAAGCTGCAAATTTAATCTTACCTTGGAGAAGCAAGTTTAATCTTATATTAAGTGTAGTGCAGGCAAATTAACATTATACTTTTAAGAAATATTTCTGGATGCTTTTCTTTAAAAAGTCTCTCTTTGGGTATTAGTATTCTGTATTAAATATTTGGTTCTTAGCCTTAAAGTAAAAAGTGAAACATTACACTGGAAAAGGGTAGACAAGCATGGGTCTCTGATACTCTTACAGAAATGAAAACACAAAATACTGCTTACTAGGAATGAAAAAAAATGGAAGGCCCTAAGCACTCCTCAAATACAGTGAACCCCCTTCCAGTTTCACAGACCATTACATGGACATTACGTGGCACGGAGAGAGGAAGCAGCAGGTTTCACCTCCACGCTGCTCAGAGCGAGAAGAGTCTCAAGCTCAGATGACCTGCTTGAGAACATCCACAGAACGAGTTCAGAGGCTGGAAAAACGCACGTGCAGTCCTTGTTTCTAAGGACTATTAGTCTGTATGGTTAACAGAGATATATATGTGCTGATATGACAGAATAAAGTCAGCCAGACACCACCTCGTCACATAGTGTGGACGTGGCTGGCATGCATTTCATATCCTCAGAAAAAAATCAAGGCTTTAATTCTTCTAAGGGTGACTTTCCTAGGCAGTGTCAGCTCATGGCGAGACTCCATAGAGTAGAATGTAAATCTAAGAGGTGAAAGAACCGAGACCCAATTAGGATTGTGACTAAAAATCCTTTGTGCCTCAAACAGTGCATGGTGTCAAACAAACATTTGTAAACTTTGAAGAGAGGTCAGTGATGAAAGTCACCAAGATTGAAGTCCCTGTGATCATTTGGGACTGAATAAGAACTCCCAGGGAAAGAACACGGGGAGAGTGCCCCTCAAAGAATTAAGGGAATACCATGCTACGGAGTCAGGAGAGTCAAATGAAGGAAATTAAGATCTCACCTGCTCTCAAAATAGAAATTTAACGAGAAGAATTGTGCTCAATGCTTGGCTCGTTTGACATGTACTAATGAGCGCCTCCTATTCCAAGAGACTGAGCAACGCAAAGGCTACCAAGGTGTCCTCAGTGGGGTCACAATTGGGGAATCAGGGTGTTTGAAACAATGGCATAGATCTCCAGTTCAGTTTGATAGTCTTTGGTCTTGGGGATTTATTTCAGCAGAGGCTTGATGGAAAGTGTTGTTCAGGTCAGATAAGCTGGCTTAGTTACAAGCTCAGCATTTTCAGGCTACATCCAAATGACTGACAAGTCCAATTTACTGACACCTTTTATGAATGTAGACATCAGTGAAAGACTCCCAAGTAGTTTATATTCCAAAGGCTATGTAAGTCATAGTGCTCAGTTATGGTTGAGGCCTAACGTCAAATAAAAGGAGCTTTTCGCATAGGACATACTGGCAATAAAAGGGTCTAGATTAGAAAAAGACACAGTTCTATCAGCAAGCTTCTTCCTCAGCTCTGGATGGATTTCTGAATTGGATGTATTCCTTTTTTTTTATTTAGGCACCAGGGACTATGGAGGGGCAGCTTGTGTACTAGGATGTGGGATTTAACTGAACTCTTACTTATGAAGGTCTTATTGTTTAATCAGACAAGGTTTGTACACCTCTCGGCTAAAATGACACCACCAGAGTGTGAAATCTTGCTGCTACTCCAGATTTGTAATTCTGGGGAGGACAGAATCCACTGATGTTAAGGCACAGCCTTCTTCAGTGTATGTACTGCAAGGACAGAAGGGTGGGGGAGAGATGGGTGCAGTGACAACTTATAGAGCAGGGGCCAGCAGACAGCAGCCTGCTGCCTAATGTCCAAAGTGAAGTTTTATCAGAACACAGCCACGCTATTCCCTTACAGTTCACGGTTACTGTCGTGGTACAATGGCAAAGTTTACTAGTTGTGATGGAGACCTTCTGGCCCACAAAGCCAAACATATTTACTATCTGGTCCTACCAGTCTGTCTCTCTCTCTCTCTCTCTCTCTCTCTCTCTCTCTCTCTCTCTCTCTCACACACACACACACACACACAGAGACTGGGATTTTGAGCCCACATTATATCTGCTATTGAGAGATTTTGGTGAGGTGCATATATGCTGCGCTTTAAAAAGTATATGGAAATTGAGTGAAGATACTTAAGCGACCACGTTCCTTAACCACCACCCGGGAGGGGGGCTCAGATGCTCGACTCCATCCTTTGAGAGGTGCTCTTCTTTCCCTACCCAGTACCTCCGTGGGATGAACATGAACTCTTTCTGAACTGCTTTATTGGCTAGGAAAACGGAGAGGTCACCGCCCCTTCATTCATCCAGACCCTCACATCTACGCAGGCTCTATTAAGGGTCAGTTTCCCTGAGTACATAAACGGTTCTGGAAAAAAAGAGCTTGTCTAAACCTGAAGAGTGGTCCGACAGCGACAGAGAGCTAGGAGGCACCTAGAAAGTAATGCATTCCTGTCCCAGAAAAAGATACAAATGGCTAATATAAACATATTTGTTTACCAGTTAAGACAATATTAAGGTCCATGCAAAAATTACATAGGTAACAAATCATTTTCCCCAGACTTTATATTTTCAAGGTGAAGGTATTCTTTTTATTATGTTGAAGGGGGAACAATGAATGCAAAGTGCTGTGTGTGCATTAGCTGGCCTTAATATGCAGTTCTATTTTTAGTTATCCTACCTGTCCACTCCTCCCAATTACTCCTGCTTTTCAAAACTGCTGAAAGGAAGGGCCTTTCTGATCAAGTTCCCTGCTTGTTTAATCTTGTATCTTGCCCCATTCCAATGGCTTGTAGAACTGAAAGCAGAATGTCCAGTGTGATCTCACTAGCCATCACAGGTATTTAACATGCATCTGTTGAATACATGTGCGCCCACAGAATGAAATGAGGTCTCCCTTCTGAGTGTGGCGAGTCACCAATAGTAACAAAGAAGGGCCCACGACAGAGTAGAGCAGAGCCAAAACCTGAAGTCTAACGTAGGATTCTAATCAACACATTTAAACCTATTAATAATAAAATCTTAAAAGGCAAGTTTAAGACCACCAATGAAAGAAAAACCATACCTACATATATAAAATTCTAGTTGTTTACAGTCTTTAAATAATGTCTTAAATTTTCTAGGCCATAATGAGGATGAGGCCCTGGACCAGGATTCTTGGATGATGACCCAATTCTATAACTGCCATTCTTTGGAATGAGCTAGTTATTTTATTAAGCGATTTAGGTGACAATTACTTGAAAAATTAAGTGTGATAACCTGCTTTAGAGAACTGCCTGTGCCTTTACATAAATACCACCATCCCATTTTAGTAATTTAGTTTTAGAGATGGTGTATATTAAGAAAAAACACAAGACTTTTGCATTGAGACTTCTACATATTTGTTAGATAGGGTTTGGACACTGTCTTCCGGTATGGTCACCTATGGGTGTATTGGGGGAAAGGGTCCCAAGGGCCCAGGATGCATGTCACCACATCCCCTGTGCTTTGCAACACAAACTAATTCTAAACAAAATTAGCTTGGTAACTACAAGCCGTTAGATACTAGCAGGCAAAGTCCTTAAGTTACTGATGTCTTTAAATAATCATTCACTTAATATGGAGCTCAAACTATACACCAAGTATTGTATTTGAATATACTTTGTAGTCTCTAATCTCAAAGTTTTCTGAAATCTAAAACATGTATTACATATATTGAACAAGTTCGATGTGGGGAAAGAATATTACAGTATAAGCTCAGCAGCCCTGGGGCCTAAGATTCATGGTCAATGTCACTGTGGCGACCTCTCTGGGAACTAATTCTTTGTTACGCTTAGAGTTTCTTTCAACCTAAAAATTTCCACAATTACCTTGAAACCATTTTATGCATTTTCTCTTACCAGCTGTTGGGACATGTGCCAAGAAGATTCTTTCACTAAGATTCTAACACGTACCTAATCATGTTGAAAGATGATGTTTTCATACTGCCCAACTTTGGTTGTGTTGGAGAAAAAAATATCTGGCTGATGGTCAGAAGGTAGAGTGTTCACAGCAAGGAAGGCACGGCACAACGAGGGAGCTGGTTTTCATTCACATTACCTCACTTGACAGGTATCCTGTAGTGCACTTTTTATTTCCTTCTTTAGTACAAAAACCAGACAGTTATCACATAGCCTAAGGCTTGAAGGACCTTTGGTTTCTTATCTAACCATCAACCCAATAATTAAATTGCCTACACCAGCTCCCACATATTGGTCTGTGATGACTTGTAGTGGAAAAGCAAAAAGCTCAAGTAGCAATTTTCATGAAGTGAAACATGATCTCTAAATTTTAACCGTGCCCTTTTTGATGTCAAAATATCCTTCATGAGATAATTATGCATACATAATCTTAGCAATGTTTAGTAAAGTAGAACAAAAAAACTGGCAACTGCAATGGTCTGAAAATTTAAAACAAAACACAGCACACTTCAATGGGAATGTTTGGTCAATACTGCCTTAGCCATACCTGTCAGGTAATCCTCCACTTTATCCAGAGCATCTCTAGGAGTATATGTGGGTTTTTCTGAAGCAATCCCATTTCACCTTTGGGTAATTATTTAAAACTGCCTTTTAATCTTGAGCCAAGTGGTCTCAACCTCTTGGAACCACACAGAATGTATCTAAATCTTCTGCCTTGTGACAGTTCTTTTACAAGGTTAAAGGAACTGGGCATTACATGCTACCAGGGCACCCACCCCTTCTTTAACTCGCCCTTCTCCAAACTAAATTGTGACTCTCACTCCTTTAGTCAAGCCTAAATATCGGGTCCTTCTGTGACTTCCTTTGTTCTGTTAACACCACAAAAACCTAAACTCAATAGGTATGTCTTCTCAGTATTATTAAAGTTTTAAAGACTTGAAATTTATGTTTACATAAATCCATTAATCTACTGATAGGCAATAAATATGGGATGAAGTGATTTAGCTTTGCTTTTCAACCCATTTCCCAAATTAAGCACAAGTGTAAATTACAGGGGAAATATTTTAATGTTTTCTAAAACCTGTAGAGAATCCTTAAAGTTACCACGATAAAAGACGAGCTGATTAGAAATCACTGCTGTTCACAAGAGCAGTTCTCCAAGCAGTACTAGGAGGTAGTTTGAGTCACTTATGCACTTCATATAAAAACATACAAACAAAAACCCTTAGAACAGTCTATAATCCAAACTTGTAAACCTTAAGTACAAAGATATCTGAATTATACATAAGTCAAAGTTTACAAAGGTGTTCCCCTACCCCAATTAGTCGAATTTTGTACACTTTAAATGCAAAAAAATCTGAATTAAATGTCAGAAGCAACAAAATTCACAAGTCAGAAGCAGTTTAGTGCTCACAAGTTTATATTTTTAGGTTTGATAAAGATTCTTGTGTATTTTCTAAATACACAGACAAAACAGTTGTGGAAGTTTACATACATGTCTTAGGACACTTATACTAGGTAGGTAACTTACATTAAAAAATTGGTCTTCGTAAAAGATCTTCCCAAAGAGCTTTTACAAACAGCAGGCAGAAGAAAGTGTTCTTTTTATGTTTACAGTGTTTAAATGCTGATTCTCCCATTTCATAATGGCCTCAACCATCCCTCTCCTCAACCCAAAACTTTGTTCTCAATAGCCAGTGTACTCCAAATCTAAGTACCCAATGTCATAAAATTCAGGGCTTCACTGAATTATCCCTACCCAGCTGAAAACAACCTAGAACGGTTCCACTTCACTTGAAAGCAGGGATACAGCAGGAACAAAGCTTTCCATTTTAAATCCTAAAGTGACTAAGAAAAGTCACCTGTACCATAGTTAAGTTTAAGGATCTGGGTGACTGAACGGCACAAAAACTGGGGTTCATAGCTTGTTCTTCGTTTAAAAATGAAAATGCCACAGCCAATCATAGCATGTGCCACACTGAGGCTGGGTGTCTTACTTGTAGTCGGGTGACGAAACAAAGGCTGCATCCGGAGGAAAGAGTAGTGAGGATACCTGGGGGAGAAAGGATTAGACACTCCAATTCCTAACAGCTGTTTTAAAGGGAAAATGTGTCTCCATATTAGACTCCTTAAAGAGCTGAACTTCTACAAAAGCTGTTGAACGAGGCCGCAGTGGAGCCTTCCAAAGAGCGCCTGGGCTGCTCTGCCCCTGCTGCGGGGCTGTCACAGCAGGCGGGCTGCTCGGAGCCTTCCCTCCTCTGTGAGATGGAGACTAGCACCGACCTCAGAAGGAATAGAGAAAATAAAGCTTAACGGGCACGTGTAGGCACTAAAAAATGGTAGCTTTTGGAATCATTATTCAGAAAAATAAACTCTTCATTCTATGTTGACAAAGTCCTAAAAATATAAATAAAGCTTATCAAAGTTTTAAAATTTATGATTTTTAAAACCCATCTCATCACTTCCCCCATGATTATGCTGCTCCAGTTATTTCCGGGCCTCTTACACTATAACGTAGTAGCAGAAGTTTCCAAGCCCTGATCCTTTCATTTCCTATTTGCTCCCTTTCTCGCTTCTTCTCTTCCTCTTGGTTCCGGTCTATTACTGAACGACTGCCAGACAGTGTCCTGAGCACTTGACACGAGCCTACTCAATTCACCCCGCGCTTCTCATCAGGATGGCTCTACCCAGACTAGCTGATGTTTCCCCCCAAATTTCAAAGCTACTCATGACTGTTCAGTTCCCCTTCCTGTAACGTTTCTTCTTTCTTCAGCTCTTAGTTGCAAGGGTACTAAAATTTAGCGAAACATCTAGTGACTATGAAAAATGAGAGCCAAACCCAACAACAGCGTGGGGACCACGTGGAGGCAACTGTCTGAGAAGCCTAACAAACAGTGCAGGACCTCGGTTTATCTGAGAGGGTCTGTATTATAGAGTGAGCAGGAAAGAGACGGTTTATGCTCTTCCCCTTCATTAAAATTAAAAGCTCTAAACATTTTTCATTTAAAATATAAGTTACAGAGAAAAGTTCAGCAAACGTGTAACGCATAATTCTGCCAGGGCTCCACAGACAAAACTATGAGTCTTCCGTGTTACCTCTGAGACCAACCACAAGTTTTTAGTGTCTCAACTTCCTAAAGTTGTACTGTAAGTCAGAAAAAAAGAATATACTTAAAAAAATAGAAACGTCCAGTAGTATACCTTAGTACTAAAACTATTTTTTTTAAAAAGATCTAGAAGGGTAAAGGCAGTCCCTCAAGATCATGAAACAAAATAAGTTAGGCAGTCAGCAAGTAGAAAAGTCTGTCAGCTCTGTTTCTGGTAAAACGTTTACTTTAAAGAAGAAACTTTTATATAGGCTGAGGCTAATATATTCAAGAGTATAAACATGTTTCCTTTGGATTACCTTTCTAAAAACAAAATTGTAAAGTATCATATTTCAGTTGACTAAAAATATAGCCCAATCTGTCACAACACAACATAAAAGGTAATGGACAATTATAGAATATTTTAAATTAACAGTAACAAGCATCTACATAAACCTTGTTCCAACTAAAACCAAAACAAAAGCACAACAATCCCGTAGTGTACCACATGTATTTCAATTCACTGTATGCAATCTAACAAAAATTTGGTCATAATTTACCAGATATACATAAATGATTTAAGTAGTAAAAAGAAAATTCAGCTTAAAAAGAGCAAGTTCATATCTTGGGAAAAGTAAAGTACATTTACACAAGAGTGTAAAGCCCAGTCCAGTTTCTATGCAATAAGTGACCCTGCAGTCTAATAAAGCAGATTTAGTGACTTTCAGATATATATCTCTTCTCTTTAATATATATTTATATATAGACAGATCTACGAATTGTAAACTATGGTTTATTTTAAAGGAGGGGGATAAGTGGGATGAAAGAAATCTTTATACTATACTTACATATTCACAATGCAGAACATTTTACGCTTAAAATACTTCTTCATTCATAGTATCTTTGCCCAACTATCATCTACTTTGGACCCCACCAGAACTACATTTTACTCATTTATCTAGAACACTGAGAATAAGATGTACTCTTCAGTCTTAAACAAAAATCAAACCAAAACTATTCATGTCAGTTTTACAGTTATGTAGAAACTATAATAAAGTTTAGATAATGAATGAAGCATCTGACCATGTAACTATACTTTATATTTTTTATTTATCCCGGCAGAAACATCACTAACACTTAAGCATCATTCTACTGAAATCAGAGACAATGGGAAAGCCTGTCTCTTAGAAAAGTATCGATGTTTCAGCCCTGATCAGATGGAGCACCAAAAGGGTTATGTCTGTGAAGTATGCTCTGCAGCTTCTCACATGGGGAGCATAACTTAGTGACCTGATACACAATAGGAAAATAGACTCACTTTCTATTTAAAAGAAAGCTGAAAATATGATATCCCTCACTCTCATATACTGTACAATATGTTCCTGATAAATGCTGTGCATGTTAATATTAATTACATGAAATGCTGCTTTGAGTTTTATAATCAGCTAATTCATCTATCATCGGGCTAAATCAACCTGACAATTTCTACTTTGTAATACATCGCCCCTTGTACCCTGAAGAATTTAGTTCATCATAAATTGTAAAGCCTCTCGATATTTTATTTGTAAGACTTTTGCAGATCACTGAATCAAAGTGACTACTAGAAAGACTGTCTATCAAGGTGTAGTGACTTTAAGGAATTGAGAAAATAATTGTCTATCATAATTTTAAAACACTCAATATCCCAGTAAGTATGAAACAAAAGAGAATGCAATTTTTGTGTTAATTTTAATGATAAAAGGGCACAAGAGTAAAAACCTGATATTTCACTTCTATTGCATAACAAGCTAACCAAACTGGACATGGAGGATCAATCATAAAACAAATCATTTTACTTTTGTTTCTATGACTTTTCTTTCGATCAGATTTCTGTCTTCAAATAGGACTGAGGTATAGTACACTGGCAAAAATAAAAAGAGGCAAACAAGAATAGTGCCAAAGTAACAGATACCCAAAACCGAATACCATGTCAGAAAACGTCATATAGTAACCATTTATCAGATTAGAGCAGCAAGAGGAAGTGACCTCTGAATCATAATCATTTAGTGGTATTTGTCGACTTCGCCACGGTAACTTTGCAACATCATTCTTCATCTGTGAAGTAGTAAAATTCATGTCAAAAGGAAGGGGGAATGGAGGAAGTCAGTTAGTTCATTCCAATAAATTACCTCTCCAGTTCTTATAAACATGCCCATCAGCACAAAATTGAGAAATAATACCTAAGACTAGAAGAGACTTGGTTTAACTTATGAAGCAAATCAAAATGGAAAATACAGAAAAGTACAACCAATGGGGTTGAAAAGGCCCCTCACTGAAAATCTGTATTAAAAAAAATAAAATTAATAAAAATAAAAATAGAAACAAAACTCTACTAGTACAAACTAGCCTGAGTGGTTTGGTGGACAAGAGTACTGGGCCAGCTGTCACTGTATTCTCGTAACTGGATTTTCTTCATTCATGTTAAACTGGTACGTGAATGTCAGCTCTTTAAGGACAGGTACTCCATTTTCATAGGACCCAAACAGTTACTGTATATCCTATAAATAAAAAATATTTTTACTTTGATAACTGACTGAAGATGTGGGGACTCCATGTAATCCAACCACAAGGTTGTTTGCTGTACAGTCCTGTGCAAATATAAAAAAAATTTTTTTGCTATAAGGCTTTGACCCTACAGTTTTCACAGCAACATAACTACCATCCAGCATGTACCATATTTTGCAAGCCTTCAAGTTCAACAATTCAAACTGTCGATTCGTATTACGTCCAAATGCAGCATCCTTGAGGAGCAGAGTAGGCCAGTTAATCATCCAGAGACATACAAACATCTCCCGGCTCATCCCAGCGCGACGGGTCGTTCTGATCTTCCCCATCGTCAGCCAGCTCTTCGTCGGCTTCCCCGCCTTCGTTCTCCTCATATTCCTCATCCCGAGGGAAGTCTGTGTCCTGTCCCTGATCCACACCTTCCTGCCCTCCTGGCTGTGATTTATCCGCACAGTCTACACAAACACCATAGCGTCGAGATCCATGTCTTATCCCAACGCTGGCAGCTAACATGAAGATCTTCTTACACACCATACATTTGTATTTCTTATCCTTTTTATGCACCTAAGTGAAGGGGGAAAATCCCATAAGGACGGCACGGACAACAAAATGCACTGGAGCCACTCAAATTAAATCACCCGGTGAACCGTGACCCATTGTTTTGCTGTATTAAGTTCAGTATCAGGCCATAAATCATATTCTTGTTTAAAACTATTTAATAATCAACCTTCCTTAAAACTGCAGGCAACAGTGTCAAAATACCTTAAACTTTACTGACATAAACATAGTTTAAGCAAAAGATCAGTTATATTTAAAGTTACTTACCAGGGAATGTCTTTTTACATGCTCTCTGCGAGTAAACAGTTTTCCACAAATATCACAGCTAAAGGATCGGACTCCCGTATGAATGAGCAAATGCCTTTTTAGTGTTCGTCTGTATTTGGCTACATAGGTACAATGAGGGCATTTTAACTTGTTCATGTTTAGAGATGATTCACCTTTTGAGAATTAAAACAAACACACAAAAAAGCACTTATATATCAACAGAACACTTGCTATCAAAAGCTCATCTATGCCCGAGTACAGGGCTCTACCCTCTCTCGTTTTTAATCCTCACCCGAGAACAGCGGAAACTTTTCCCATTGCTTTTTCAGAAAGAGCGGAAGGGAGAGACACACAGAGAGAAACATCGACCGGATGCCCCCTGCATACACCCCAACCAGAGCCGAGGGTGGAGCATGCAACCGAGTTACGTGCTCTTGGCCCGAATCGAACCCAGACCCTTCGGTCTGCGGTCTGACGCTAACCACTGAGCCAAACTGGCTAGGGCTCTCTTGATTTAAAAAAAACAAAACCAAAACATAATAATTTTGTAGATGTTTAATTGACTAATACTTGCCATTTTCCCAAGTTTCTTGTTTTGGCCAAGATTCAGGCAATAATCCATACTTGAAATCGTTTGCAGCACCTGGTAGCAATCCATACTTGAAATCATTTGAAGTACCTGGTAGCAATCCATACTTGAAATCACTTGATGGGCCAGGCATTAGGCCATACTTGAAATCTTGTGAAGTACCTAATACAATTGAAAAGTGATTTTGATATAATAATGGTAATAAAGACATGTCTCTTGCTAGAATCAAAACCAAAATAAATATATAAGCATTATGATAGAAGAGCTTAATATAAAATAGCTAAATAAAAAGACTTTACATTTAAGTCTAAAACTGAGATGTCCTCACATTTTATTATACTAAGTATAATATCCTGATTGGCAGGCATGTTAAATAGAAAACAAACTACAGTTTAAAATACGTTTCAAATATAGGGTAAATTCAGTGAAATAAATCTGAATACTATTTAATGATGTGTGGAGGCCACATGAAACTACTACTTTTAATACTATATTTCAAACATATTCAACACAGAACCCTGTCTTAATAGTCGCTATTTCTAACTATTCTGTCAGTAGAGACCACCCCAAAGCCCAGCTGTGGAACTGGACAGTCTCCTTTTGTCCCCAAAACAATCCCAGTCTTAAGACTAATTGGTATAGAAAAGTGAACTAAGGATAAAAATATAAACAGATAAATTGCAAATAAAGTTCTTGTACTATTAGACTCTTGTCTGTGGTTTTAGACACATTGGGGCAAGGTAGCTGAATGCCCTTTGGGGGGTTTTCATCAAAACCTCTTTCTACACCCATCCTTAAACAAATGAAAATCAAGGAGGTAGAATCAAAATAGAATAGTTGAAGTCCCTTAGGGAATTTGTGCCTGAGGATCTTCAAACTAGCTAAAATAAGAATCCTCCCCTCTGCACTCGATTCCATCTTGAATACTCCTTGCATCTGGGAATCCCTTGGCAATGTGAATCCAGAATCCACCATGGCTACTGCCACCATGACCCATTCAACCACAGACTCTTGCCTCTGGATTACTTTCAATAGCCATCAGCTTATCTGCCTTCCTAGAGTTTAGTTCAACACAACAATTGGGTTCTTTTATTTTTTTTTTATTTTTTTTAAAAAAATATATCTATTAGTTTCAGAGAGAGGAAAGGAGAGGGGGAGAGAGAGAAACATCAATGATGAGAGAGTCATTGATCGGCTGCCTAGCCCGCAACCCGGGCATGTGCCCTGACAAGGAATCAAACCCCGATCGCCTGGATCCTAGGTCGATGCTCAACCGGCTGGGCCAATTGGGTTCTTTTAAACTTTTAGTCACAGCCTGGCACTCAAAAGCCTGCAAGGACTATCCATCTCACTCCAAATAAAAGCCAAGGACTCCCAATCTCCTCGAAGCCTTACCTGACCTGGCCCTTGCTTCCAACCACTCTCCTGGGTGCTCTGATCCAAACACACTGCCTTGGTGCTGTCCCTCTGGAAAGATACTTCCTACCTTCAAGATCTTTGCCTTGAATAATCCCTTCCAGGCTGTGCACACAGCTCACTGGTGCAGCAATTGATTACTTTCCCTCCCTAAGAATGCTTGTCAAAAAATGGGTTTTGTAAGAATTCATTTCCCTGTATCTATTTGCAGATACACTTGCCTCTCTTAAAAATTAAAATAACTTAAGACATCAATATCCAGCAATGCAAAAAGGTCTCTGAGGTACTTAAAAAGTGCACTTCACGACCATTAATGTAAATTGTTTTGTACTTGGAAAGCCACCCATTGTTTTAAATGTTAGGAAAGCCCTCTCAAAAACAAAAAGAGAAAAAGGAAAGCCCCCTGAATCCATAATTACATAATTTAACTATAATTATGTCTTGCTGTTTGGGGAAAAGTTTTCAGAATCCTAAAGTGAGGCAGCATATATGTGTGTGGGATGGAACAGACCACTTTCACATTTCTAAAGTTTGAACTTTGTGACTCATAATTCTTGTCCAAATCAATGCAAAACAAAGCAAACTCTAAGAGTAAGGTTGGTGCCTGTCTTACCTTTGTATTTCTAATGTCAAAATAGACAGTCTTCAGTCATTTGTTGAATAAATGTATCTGGCAAATGCTAACATGTACACGGTATTTTTTACTTGCTCAAAATACTTGAAAAATTAACACAAGAAATGTTAGATATACTGATATCCTCAACTAAATATTATTCACTACATAAAGGACTAGAATCCAAGAATCAGAATTAAAGATTTTTAATACCTGAAATTCCATGTTTTTTCTAAATAACCTACAGTCAAGATATAATAAAAATCATTCATGTTAATAGGTGAGAGAGACCATTCTGAAATTCAAAATAATTCCAATTAAGAAAGCCTTATCCCAAACTCCTGTCATCTCTCCAAATTCTTACAACCAATAGGGTATCTTGTAGGAACCCTAAGAGCAGCACGAAGGTATCCTTTGTAATTCAATCCACTGACAGATCATTAAGGTAATTGGAAATCTACCACATAATTGTGCTTATTGTTGCAAACTAAGAAAGCAGCAATGTTCTTAAAGTCAGAATTGTAAGATAAAGGCTGGTCTCAGTTGCAAAAATTCCAATGGATCAATGTGCTCTCCTACCCCCAAAGGAGAAGTGATTCTAAATCAAGGGTTTATTTTTTTTTGAGAATGAGATAAATTATATAGACCATTACCCCTGAAAGAGTGTATGTGTAAATTTAAAACTTTACATATGAATTCACATAGCCCAACTGAACCCATCCATTCTTGAACAGATTTCTACACCAAAAGAAAGGGCAATGAAATATTCCTGTATTCGGTGGTTCTCTGTACAAATAAGAGGTCCTCAAAATTCAACCCATGTGATCTGCAAACTGCTCATGGCAAAACCTTTTCTGTAAAGTCAACAGTTAGGAGAAACCACCTTAAGGCAGCTTCTTCACAGTTGTGGCTAAGTTTTGGTCAGTGTGTACTGTATTCAGAAGCCCAACTGCTTTCTGTAAGGAGTGCCCCTAGTTGTCCCCTTCCCATCAATCTTCAAGAATTTCAAGGCTACAGAAGATGAAACAATGAACATCTATATGCCTTTATGTATATTCAACAAATGTTCGTTTTACCATGTGCTCTATAAATATACATATACACACCTTTGATGTCTATTTAAAACAGGCTGTACACCCATCACTTCACCCCTAAACACGGTGTGCATCTTCTATCACATTCAAGAAATTTAAAATTGTTCAACGACTACATTTAACCCATAGGACATATTCAAATATCCAGCTGTTCCCAAAATGCCCCTTTAGTCCTTGTTTGAACCCTTGATGTAATCAAGACTGACACAGTGCGTCTGGTTGGTCTCCTTCAATCCAGTGGTGCCTCTGCTTGTGTTTCCTGGCACTAGCCTTTTAGAATCTGGACTAGCTGGGTTTCTGTCCATCTGCTTCCTTTCCCTTGTGATTAGATCTGGATGAAACATTTTGCAAGAACACCACATAGGTGATGTTGTGCACCAGCTCCTGCACTGCATCAGGAGGCAGGTGGTTTCAGTTTCTTTCACAACTAGCACTACATTTAATCACTCAGTTATGGTAATGTTCACCAGATCTCTCTATTGTACAGCTCCCTTTTCCTTTGTAACTGAAGATGCTGAGCACATGTAAAACTGCCATTACAACACCCCTGTGCTCAGTCATGGAAGCCACTCAACAGCGGTTACCATCTTGAATTATTTCCAGTGGGGGTTCCAAAATGGCTATTTTTACAATTCTATCATTCTTCTATATTTATTAGATTGGCATTCTTCTGTAAAGAAAGCTTTTCCCTTCCTAACTGACTCATAGTGTACTCCTGTAATTCTGTGGAATATTCATGAATTCTCTGTCCTTATGTTTAGGGTGCTTCCCCCAAAGTAGAGCTGATCTAAATATTCAGAATGAACATTTTCTATAGCCATCAAGAACCATACTATTATTTTACATCAAAGCTAATTCAAATACATGAACCATTCTGATAATTACCATTCTCATTCCATCTATATATTAAGCAGGAAGCCACCATAATTACTTTTGATATTCAAGAGTTTTAAAACATCCACCAAACAAACAAGAAATGCCTACTGATTTGTATTTAACAGGTTTCCAAAGTCTATCATAATCATAGAGGCCACAGATGAAACTATTTACATATAATACTCTCCCCTTTAAGGAAAAGAAACTACAGTAGGTCCTTAATAAACAAGTACACACACACTTCCCAATCCCCAAATCCTCTTAAATGTATTCTGTATGGGGATGTGGGGGAAGGGGAGGAAATGGGGGGACATCTGTAATGCTATTTACAACAACAAAAAATTCCTGCTTTGCCTACCAGCATCGCCTCCATCCTGCCCCAAGCTGGCTTCTGCCAGTAAGTTTGTGTTCACACTCCTATCGCAGTCCGGCCCTGAGAGCAGAGCACCATCCAGATCTGAAAGAGATGGATAGTAATGTTATTACAACCATACCACAGCCACTACCCATACCACTCTCTTCTGCAACTGTTTCTTAGGCACACACAGAGAGGCTATCTGCAAGTGCTGAACACTTGGCTCAATACCATAAGGCACATGATTTTCAACCACAAGAATAAATGCACACCCAATGGTAAGTACAGTGTGCTCTACAGGAATGAGCTTCAGAGCCAGGGTGAACTGGTACTCCAGCTCCATTGTCACTATGAAAGCGTGTGCCACAGTTTCCTCATATGCATCCACCTGTATCAGATTTGATAGAGAAATTAGGTTAATGCAAGCCAAGTGTTATCATTATGATGCCTGGCACCCAACAGATAGCGACTACTGCTGCTGGTACTAAGTACTAGAAGTATAAAACATTGTTTCTGTATGGCTCAGAGGTGGGAAAGACGGTTTAAAGTTAAAATAGAGAAGAGGTCATTCTCAAGAGCTCATCTTGAACTATGGAAAGGATGTGGGGAGGCAGCATTTAAAAAAAGGGGGGTGCAACATGATGTTTACTTTTGCTTCCAATCTGTTGATTCCCTTTAAATCTGTTCCATCTCTTCCATTTCTCTACCACTGCCTTTACTCGGGCGCTTGTCCTTACTCCTTGATTAGTGAGTATGCAACTCAAACAGCTCCTTGGTCCCCTTGCTTCCCAAACATAGTGCTCCCACTGCCACTCACTTCCCACATGCTGCCCGAGAGATCTTCTGAAAACAACTCCTTAAGTTGCCCCTTTTCTTAAAATCTTCCACAGTTAACCACAGCTTTTACATTAGTCTTCAAACTCCTTAGTTTTAGAGCATAAGGTAATGTTCAGGTTCCTGCTTATAAATCTAGAATCACCCAGTGGCACTATCTACTCTCTGAAATGAATTCCAAGTTTCTGAAGAGGGTTTTGAAATACCGCTTACTATGGACAGTCTCTCTTCTGCCTTCCATACTAGACTCACCCTTGGTATTACCATCCTGCACTGCTCTGGATTCCCAACACTGAAGGTAAAAAGTTTATGGTGGGCAAATAAACTGGGTTATAGTCCTACAACAAAATGCAACCTAACCAACACTGGTTAAAATACTCAACAGATCTGGTACTTCCATACTAACAGGCCAGTAGGATAACATACTTTCAAAACAACTGAGAGAAGAATAGTATAGCTGATCTCAAGTAGGCACAAAGAGTTAATGTAGAATCCTATAGGCTTCAGTAAGGAATCTGGCCTTTTTTGTTTCTAAGAGCAGTAAAAGGATTTTAAACAGGGTGGTAATCTCATTTCCCTTTTAAAAAAAATTATTCCAGGTGTTGTAAGAATGAGTTAAATAAAGGAGGAGATACAGGGAGACTGGTTAGAAAGCTATTTAAATACTTCAGGTGAGAGCTGGTGGTAGCTGTGACTTCAATGAATGGCTGTGGCAACTGGAGAAAAGTGGATGACTGAGTGTTTTTGTAGGGGGGGGGAGACTGATAGGGCTTCGTGACAGACTGGGTGTTGGGGCAGGGGTGAGGGTAATAAGTGAGTTTCTAGCCTGTTACTAATGACTGCACAGGACCCTAGAAGAAAATCAGTTTTGGAGGGAATAGGAGGTGTGGAAAATTTAGTTATGAACTTACTGAGTGTGAATACTTTAGAAAAGGTTTAATAGTATGTTTGCAGTATGGACAGTGAGTTAAAAAGGTAAGCTCTGGATACTTCCTGGGACCAGCACTGCCACTTCCTAGCAGTGAAGCAGGTTACATTGCTTCTGTGACTGAGAACCACTGCACTGGTCCCTAGTGTGGTCCCTGAACCAGCAGCAGTATTAGCTGGGTACTTGCTAGAAATGTCCATTTTCAGGCCCTATCCCAGACCTACTCAGATACTCTGGAGGTGGGGCCCAGCAATCTGGATTTTAATAAGCCCTCTAGCAGATTGATACTTACTAAAGAAATACCTCAAAAAGAAATGGTCAGATTTCTAAGATTCCCAGGGAGCCTGTCTTGGTAGCTTAGGAAAGACAATGACCTATCTAGAGAGAAGTTTGAAGACAGGCACTTAGGACATTCCAGTTTACTGGCTCTATTTTCTCTGTCCGGTAGAATGTGAAGGTGTTGCCTAGAGGAAATGGGCTGCAAGTCAGGAGGATGACCGAGAAGTTCATGGGCAGTAAACAGACACAGGCTCCTTTACCTGTTCCTTCAAAGCAGGGACACTGTTTGGGTCTTATTTTCCCAGAATTTATCAAAATGGGTGACAGATAGAAAACTTTTCAACAAATGTTAAATGCTGGCTTAAATACTCTGCACTTTGCAACTGTATTACTAACTTAGTTATAATTAACGGTGTATGAGCCTGGCCTGTGTGGCTCAGTTGGAGCATCATCCCACGCACTGAAAGTCTGCAGGTTGATTCCTAGTCAGGACACATGCCCGGGTTTCCAATTCTGTCTCTGCTCAGGGTGCATACAGGAGGCAACTGGTCGATGTTTCCCTCTTTCCCTCTTTAAAAATCAATAAAAACATATTTTTAAAAAAGTGTTTGAGGGCCTGGCCGGGCGTGGCTCAGCGGTTGAGGGTTCGACCTAGGATCCAGGCGATTGGGGTTCGATTCCCAGTGAGGGCACATGCCCAGGTTGCCGGCTTGATCCCCAATCAGGGGCATGCAGGAGGCAGCCGATCAATGACTCTCATCATTGATGTTTTTATCTCTCTCTCCCCTTCTCCTTTCCTCTCTCTGAAATCAATAAAGATTTTTTTTTTTTTTTTAAAGTGTCTGAGGAATAATTTCTCAGTTTTCTGGTGTACGATCACACTAAAACACATCCATAAACTTAAAATAATTAACTGAAATTCAGTAGCTTTGTTTTCCTATAAAAAGTTAAATGTATTCTAAAAATAAAAAATAAAACTCAAATTATTACTCAAACAATGTTACTAAGTTTCCAGTATCTTTTAAAAACAAACATTCTGAAGTGTAGTCTGTCAAATTCTCCCACATGGGTTTGTAAATACAGGGTATTTCTACTTATGTAACATTCTATAGGGATTTGAAGGCTTTCCTCTGCTGGTTCTTAAAACAGACATTTCTTGTCTCCTACTCTACCTGGAAAGTATTAGAATTTATTTTGTAATCTTTACTCCTACATGGACACTAGGCACAGAACACCTTACCAAAGAACTTGATAGATGGCTAGTGTATTCTTCCTGTGCATAGTATTTACTCTCAAACCGAATCACACCCATGCTGCACACGCTAAATCTCTCCTGAGAGGTACCAACTACTTGGTTCTTGATATCAAAAACAAACCTCAACACAGGTGAGCTCTGCCAGGCTGACATCACTTTCATAAACACACAACGCAGGAATCAATATACCCTATCACTTCTGGACCTTATGTGACACCAGCCAAATTGCCTAGCAACTCATTTCTCATCAGTTTTGTTGATGTGAGTGGGAGAAAAGCCAGGCAACCAACTGTTCACTTGGTACAGTAAGGGATTTGCTTCACTGGGAAGCAAAAGCACTAACTCTTGCTCACTATCTTTTTCTCTAAAGTTATAAGATTAAAAAATAAACTCTAACATACTTTTTAACATTCTTGACTTTGCTATGGAAATCTTTTGCTTCACTTAAACTTAGCAAAAAGGGCTAAGATCTCTCTACAAACGATAGACCTTTTTGAAGAACTATTAAAACATTGGTTTCACAACATAACAGCTTTCTGAATGGTAGTAGGTATTAAGTGTACGTAGTATCATTCAAATCAGAGCTAAATGATAAGCCATGTATAATTTCTTCTATTTTTACAAATGTCTTTCTCCCATGAACAGGTAATAGCAGACCCCTCCCCAAAAGAAGACACAAAGAACAGATTTTATGCATCAAGCAGTAAGTCCTTTTGTATATGCTTTCTCATTTAAACTTTCCATGTTAATGCAATAATAGCAAGAATGATCTTATTGTCACTGTAAGAGGGAACTAGGGTAAGCTAAAGGCCAAGTGCTGCACTGCTTGTTAACTGTATTCAATGGCCCCGTTAATGTGTTATGAGCACCAGACGTGTGGCCTGGCACACAGCAAGCGATCAAAAAGGGTTCAATCCATAATGCTGGAAGTGAACGTAAAGATATCCATCTTAAACTCACTTCCCAAGAGATACCTGATATACTTTTCTGCGAAACAAACAAAAATAAACCTCACCTACACTCTTGGTAAACCAGTATTCAACTTTATTAACCTTCCCTTTATTTAATACAACTGTTTCCACAGTGGACCTTAGATTTCAACTATCACTGTTCTTTACATTTGTCTATCTTTAAAGCAACCTCCTCCTTAGGATTTTTTTTTTTTAAAATACTTCTCTGATTAACCATGTACTGCATTTTAAAAAAGTGACTTGTTCATGGGTTTTTAAAATATCTGGTTAACAAGCAATGGAAAGAGAATGTTTTTATAAACAAGTACAGATTATTTTCTCTTCCTTCACTGTGATCAAGGTATTTTTCCCCTGTACAGTGGGAGTAAATTCAGTTGCAACGTGTTATATAAAGTGCCCTTGAGTTCCAGTAGCAGCCTAGAGACTCAACTAACAGCCCTTTCCCTTCACCCAGAACCTGCAGACTCTTAGCCTAGGCGCTACTGTTTCTTTACACTACTCAAGGCTGTTATTTCTACCCTGACTAGCCCTTCACAGGGCTCCCAGGTCGCTCCCCACTCCATGAACACCCTGCAAATGTTTCTGTGTTAAAAGCAAACATAAACAGATCGAATCTCTAGTTAAAACGTCTCATTGTCTTAGAGTCTGTAAAAAAAAATTCACAATTTATTGCCATGTCAAGCAGAGAATCACAGTCTGGACCTAACCTATCCACCCAACCTCATCTCCCTGCTGCAGGCCCCCTTTCTATTCTTTTACCCACCATTCCAACTCCTTGTCACCTTGCAGTCAGTGAATGTTCTCCCTCTCCTGGCAAACTCTGAGATAGGAGAGC